TATATAACAGTGATTGTTTTTCTCGAGTGACGAAGTAAGTAACTAATCATTTGAATTTGGAGCAACTAAACTCGTAGCATATGTAATTAAAAACTAATTTACTAATGCGTACAAAAAAAGGAAGAACGTGTATTGTGATATAGGCCATGTTGTACGGGCCACTACTACGTATGAATCATTTGGAGATTGAATTGTTTAATGTTAAAAGTATATGGTGGATTGGTGGCCTAATGGTCTCGTGGATAGCAGTTACGACGACGAGGGTAGACAAAAATCGGTGGACGATGCTTTCTCTGGCAGTTGACCCACCGGTATTGATGATTAAACTTATTCTTTTTTTTTTTTTTTTATTATTATTAAACTTATTCATTCATTTAAAAAAATTTAAATCTCGTAATATGAAATATATTACTATGTGTTATTGTCAAAATGTGTTGTTGTTTTCTTTGAACAAAATGTGTCTAGTACGTACTTTTAATCCAAGTTAAAACTCGGGAGTATGTTTTAATTTTATTTTTGAATACCGAAAACTCGAATATGTTTACTTTTAAAATAGTGGTTGCTACACCCATCATATTCAACTACATCTTTTACAGCACTAAACGTAGTCTTATGTGCCTACGACTTGTATTGTTTTCTAATGATAATCAAATAATTAACAACAACATAAGACCAGATTGACAATAACCAAACTACTGATAAATAGTAAGATATTTCAATAATGTTATTTCTGGTGCATTATAACGTTAGTCGCCGAATCACAAATTTAGAGTTGGAGTTTAATGATTCTTTATTTACAGTTCCAGTTATATAATATAGCCCAAATTAAACTCGTTACTAAATATATAACTAATATTATTATTTACGTGTATAAAATAATATATGCTTTATGCGTAATCTTTGCTGATATATTCATTGCTTCCCCGCTAGTTCATCAACAGCACATGCAACGATCGCCAGTCTGAAAACGTCAATGCTCCTATAATATTGAATAGGCATGCATTAAAAATAAGTTTTCTCAGTTTATAAAATCGGCGTCAACTTTTTATTATTATGCATTTTATGTAATAATAAGCCGACTTAATTGTTGATATCATAAGAAAATTAAACCAATTCGAATATAAATCAAAACATATGATTTAGTCGTTGTAACCGATCATGATTTAGTCCGAGTATTATCTAATTTTCTTTGTTGATTTACTTAGAAAACTATCTTTCTTAAACCTCTAGTTTTATCATGTCGTCTTATAATCACTGATTCATTAATACCGATCGATTAAAGCAAAGCTGTTCTTAATTTGAAAATAAAATGATCGGATCTGGAGAAATAAAGGTCACTCTATATAAAAAATTAAAATCTGAGAAGTAAAAAAAGTTCACATGGGGTGGTTCAATTAAAACCCGAAACCGCACTAACAGTGACGTGTAAACTGAAGCTCTATTACCGGCACGGTCCTCCATGTTCGAATTGAGATGAGTCGTTAAAAGTAGTAAATTACCAATAATACTAGTATTAAATTCTCCTTTTTGTCGTTAATACTAAAATTAGGAAAAGGGTAGTATATATTTTTGGAAAAGGAAAAGAGTGAGGGAGATCCAAATGCTTAGATTCATGTGAACTGAAACTGTGTGAAGCCGTTTGTTTGCTTTGGAAACTGAAGCCTTCCCCATGTTTCGTGTTCCTTTTTGTTTTTTCTGACCACAACACTACCACTTCACTTTCTTTCTTCCTTACATTCGAAGTTAGTATTTCTTTTAGCTTCTATTCATACAGTTCGTATGACAGTAAGAATATTTTAAAATTATTCTTTCTATTATACTACTCCATCCGTTTCAGTTTAGTTATCGTTTTATGATTTAAATTTTGTTTCCGTTTTAGGTTTTCAATGCAAATGTTTGGTGAAAATTCCAATTTTATTCCTACTGTTTTAATATTTTGGCAAATGAATTTTTTTATAAAATATATTAGTAAAAGGTAAAACAAAAAATTTAATGTTTTTCTTAACTTGTGTAAAAAAATCTTAAACGACAACTAAAACGAAACGGAGGGAGTATAAGTAAACAATTATCGTTTCAAGATTCAATGTACATTTTAGGTAGACCATATGTAGTTTATCTCTATTTGAAATTAAATATTGTAAAGAAAGAACCTATAAGTCTACATAGGTTGTTTGTTTCAAAGATATATGTATAAATAGAAACTTTAACCTTTTTTTATTCATGTGGAAAATGTCGATACGATCTGTATTTTGAAACACGGATGTAATAATTCAAGTGTACGTACGTATAATAGTATGAAAAGTATTAGGTATGTACCAACATTAATTAATATGTAAAAGAAATATACTAATCACTCACTACCAATTAAGTCTAAGTTAAAAGCTACTAATAAATTATTACAGTCCAAAGTAGGAACTTGTTCGAAATGAATGAACGAAATGAATGAACGGAAATCAATAAAAATATGAAGACATCTACCGTAATATCAATTTATTAATGGAAAATTTAAAATCATATTTTGCATTCAATATTTATTTTACAATTTCTTATGAAGATAAATGGCTGAAAGAGTAAACTAAATCTAAATTTTATAAAATAATTGTGGTGTACTGTTATCAATAACAAAAGTGTTTACTAATTGCGAATTTGAAACGCAATCCCAAAAGCATAAACAAACATGGCCTTAATAACGACTTAAGTTAAGAGAAGGTCAAACAAGATGTGATACCATTAACTAGAGGTTTCCAAGTTGGTTAATAAGAAAATCAAAAGCATATGATTAGCCGAATATTTTAGACATTTAATTTCAAAACTAATCTATAAATTAATTAAAACAAGATTCCAAAATGTCATCAACACCTCTATATATCTCCCTAATCTCCAAAAGCCACCATGTCTCCATAACACAACTAACAGAGATAGATAGACAAACACCAAGAACAGAGCCATTTCTTCTTATTTAGTTTCCGCCATGGAAGCCAAGAAGTCAAACAAAATCAGAGAGATCGTTAAGCTTCAACAGATCCTCAAGAAATGGCGAAAAGTTGCACACGCATCAAAACAAGCCAACAACAACAAGATCGACAGCGTAGATGACAACAACAACAACATCAACATGAACAACAATGGAAGTGGAAGTGGAAGTGGAAGTGGAAGCAAGAGCATCAAGTTTCTGAAGAGGACACTATCCTTCACAGACACAACAGCTGTTCCTAAAGGCTACTTAGCTGTCTCGGTGGGGAAGGAGGAGAAAAGATACAAGATACCAACAGAGTACCTTAGCCACCAAGCTTTCCACGTGCTGTTGCGTGAAGCAGAAGAAGAGTTTGGGTTTGAACAAGCTGGTATCTTGAGGATTCCTTGTGAAGTTGCCGTGTTCGAGAGCATTTTGAAGATAATGGAGGACAACAAGAGTGATGCGTACCTGAGCACTCAGGAGTGCAGATTCAATGCCACGAGTGAGGAAGTGATGAGTTATCGCCATCCTTCGGATTGCCCGAGGACACCATCTCATCAACCTCACAGCCCAATGTGCAGATAGCTTTTTTTGTTTTGATTTGCTTGTTGCTTTGAACCATTCTTCTTCCTCTTCCCCACGTTCCCACTTTTTCCCTTGGGGATTTGGACTTTGTGTACTACGCAACTTCAATGAGAAAAAGAGAGAGATAGAGAGATTTTTGAATAATGGAATGTACAAACGGATCATTTGAAACAAACCAAACAATGAATACCACTGCTTTTTTTCTCTGCCCTGAATCAAGGAAGTAAATGAAAACCACAATACCTAGATCTCTATTGTTTTCAAATATCATAAAAGTCAATCCATCATGAAACAACTCTGGAAGTGAATGTATTACATAGCTAGTGTAACAGGTTACAGTTTCCTTTTTCCAACATCTTCATTTGTCCTTTTAACTCTTAGTAGAAATCAGACCCACAACATCCCAAATTTCCATGTTAATTGAAAAGACTGAACCAAGAGGTGGTGGTGCAATGATAAGCAGGTACTATACTCTAGTGGCTAGAGCGTAAACTCGGGCATCTCAAAAGTTCGATACCCGCTGAACTTACACTTGACCAATGTGCTATTCATATGGCAGTTTTATGTTCCAGGGTTAGGCTTAGGGGACTTTGTTACAAAAACTAAAGCAAAAGGTTCATGTTATGCATCCTACACTTTTTCCGGGAACTAGCCATGATGTTGCAGTTATGCCAAGTAATCAGAGAGCTAACATAAAGTAATAGAGTAATTAACATCAATTTAAAATAGTGTAAAAAGATGAGTACCTACGGAAACGTACTTGTAAATCATCAAGTGGAGACTCTGGTTGTTAATCAATTTTGATAAACAACGTACAGTATCCTATGCTTTTACAACCGAAACTAATGCTACAATAAGTACAATGAATATAATAACTAGTCACATCATCAAAGTCACATTTTCTCTAAACTAAGTACCCCTCATTATTGAAGTAACATGCACTTAACCATTAATCCCTAATTAGCGTACGGCAAAATCGAGAAGGAATGATCTTGGTATCCTCCCAAAATCAATCAAGATTCAAGAGAGAGAGAGAGAGAGAGAGAGAGAGAGGAGGTATTCATGGAATGATATGTCCTCTCTCACCTGGTTTAAGAGGTGGTCAAAGTCAAAGCTTAAGCAATGAGATCTGATAAAACGGAAAGGCCACATGACATCCGCACCCTGAGACGTGCAACCATCTAAAGCAATCACTCAATAATGCATGTGTAAGTGTAACATCTCCTGAACCTGATCTCGAGGATAGTAGTGATATGAGCAACTTGAAAGAAGTGCATTATATATCAACGACAGCAAGATCCAGCAAGAGATCTAACATGAACAACCAGGGTGAGAGAGGACATATCATTCCTATGACTCATATATTTTCCTGCTTTTAAGAAGATTGGTATTCAAAGAATAGAGAAACAGGGGAAATGCCTATTTTCTAAGACACTCATCATTTGCAAGCCCTTTCAAGTAAAAAAATAAACAGTAACTCTTCAGTGAAATTACAAAGCATAAGAGGTCGTCTGATTACATGATCATGCAAAGCCCAATTCATGTCTCGCTATTAGTTTCACAAAAGCATGATCATTCTGTTTCTTTATAATTTCCCAAGAAGCATTGTTCCACAAGTCTTATTTCAAGTGAAGCAATGTCTTTTATTATGAAAAAAAAAAGGGGAAGCAATGGCAATCATTTTAAATAAGTGCAACTGTGCAAGTACCCAAAAGTCACAGCAATCAAGTATATCAGAGAGTGAATCATCAAGAATCCAGAGGTTTTCCATTCTCAAGATCCTGCTTAAAGAATGTTTTGAATGTGTCGATCCTCGTCTTAGCTTCTGGTAATCTCCTATCTTCCAGAAATTTCTTGGTCGCTGTTACGAAATCTTCCTTGTCATGTCGTTTCCATTCCTAACATAGTTTAACATGTATAAAGATTTGAACCTAAAAACAATAAGCAAGAATATAATAGAAGATTTCAAACCTCGAAATCCCATTCTCCATAAAGATCCGGATCATCTTTGTTCTTCCATACATATGTTTCGACTTGCAGCTTCTCTGAAGTATCCTGCAGATGACAAAGCATCAAGAGGTTTATATCAAAATCTGATCTAACAAAAACCTAATCCAAGATGTAGGAATTAACTGTTCCGATCAAAAAGTAATTACCGTCAGCACCACTTCAACAGCCTTTCTGTCATATTCAACATCCTCAAACTCATCTAACATTTTCAGTTCATTATCTGTTATTCCCTTAAGCACCTTCAAGAACAACAAAGTTTTCAAAACTCTGAGAAACCTCAAAAATCAAGTACACAAAACAAGTTGGGAAGCAAAATGATCTCTACACAATAACAACACTACACAAAGAACAATGGCCTTAACGTTTCTCTATGGATCAAAATAATTGTCCTAGTTTTCCATTTGTGACAAAAAAAGGGAATCAGGGATAATTAAAGAACCTTTCCGGTGACTTCTCCGGTACCGTCTGGTAGAATTGTTGGATAAACACGACCTTTGAGTTTAAACCTGTGACTGAAAATCCCAGAATCTCCATTAATCATATCATCAATTGGATCAAAAAAATCGAATGAAAACAAGACAGATTGAGTGAGAGAGAAACGCACAAGCCGGAGAGGACGGCGGAGACACGGTCAGGGACGCGATTAAGAAGCACGTAAACGACTTCGGGCTCCTGGAGACTGCCATAGACAAAGAGATCATGACCAGCTTTCCTTGACAACATACTCTCTCACTCTGTCTCTCGCCTACTACTACTGTACTACACATAGAAGAAGTTCGAGTGTCCATTGTCCGGCCACGTGTAAAGCACATTGACGGTTGTGATTACTACTGGTTCATGTTTTTTATTCAACATACATTTCTTGGAAATGTTTTGTGGTTCAATAAACTTAAACAAGATGGCAAATCAACTCGAGAACAGAGGAATTATAACCATAGCCATAACAAACACGATATCCATTTTAAAAAGATAGATCGGGTCATTACAAACAGAGTTTAAAGTCTTGAAGACACTGCAAAATGTAATGAAATATCTAAAATGTTTGCCCAACAGAGTAAGATAATTGATTGTTGTTTGCCGATCACATGGCCATTGGTTCAGGACCAGCGGCGTTTAGGATGTCTAAGAGTGAGTTTTGGGGCTCCAATTCCTCGTGCCAAAGCTGCAACTTATCGCCAGGGTAAAAGTTTCTCGTGACTCCCTCTGAGTTGATCTGTTCAAAAGCATCAAAAGCAGTTTGTCAATTAAGTTCCATTAAGGAGGTTACATAAGTCTCGTTTTAGTGAGCTATTGGTCAGAGAGATATCTTACTATGACAGTCCGTACGACACCACCACTGGCTCCATCACGGGCGATGGCTAGTGAAACCGCCTTCACAACAAGTTGCTGCAATATACATACAAAAGCATAAATACAACAGCAAAGACCAGTTATAGTAAATGGGTTTTGTGAGATTTATGCATATGCAGATACAAAGATCTGAACTGCCTTACCTCGGCTTCTTCTTTGGTCATGTTTTCTTTCCAGGCCTGATCGAAGAACCCGTAAAGATAGCTCGAACCAGAGCCTACACAAGCACACACAAATCCATTAGTTCTTAACCGAAGCTAAGGTATCATGCAAGTAAATAGCAAAGATCACTTAATCAAATAAAGCTATGTTAAAACCTAAAGATCATAAGACTCATAACAATATGGTTTTTTACCTCCAATGGCAAACGGTTGCTCGACTACAGTTCCACCAAGTGGGATCCCGTAGATCTTCCCACCCTCATACTTATCCCATCCTCCAACGATGAGACCAGTTTGGAGCATGTTCTGCTCAACAAAGACAGACAATGCTTCAGTCAACAATCCATGTAATCAAAATAAGGAATGACCATACAATAACACACTGGATATGATTCGGAGTATAGAAAACTGAGATACTTCTTGAGCACTGCATACAGTAGCTATAGAACAGACACTTTCTACATTTTCCACTAATAATGGCCGTTCTTCAGACTAGAGAACAACCATTACAACAACACCACGAATAAAAAGAGAATCATAAATACTAGCATGCTAGGTTTGACATGTAACATCAATCTCTATGCCCCCAAAATTTTCAGCTTTAGTCATAATAAAGCAATAAAAAACACAAGCAAATTGTCAAAACTCCAAAACAACAGTTATCAGTGATTGAGTAGAGCATGTTCTCATATACAAGAAAGGACCCTGGTGGATAATGGAACAACATCCACATTCCCCACTATTAGTTTAAGTTGCTGGTAAAACAACCAAACCAAAGAGCAAGCTTAATAGCAAACCTGTACCTTGTTATTATATGCGAGCATCCTAATAAGGTTGGCAGAAACCTTTACAGTTGCAGGTTGTCCGAGCTGAATTCTGCAAATCATAATAAAACAAATTATTATTAATCGGATATATAAGATAGCATAAGTATCAAGTCATGTACTTTCGTCGAATCAAGACACTCACGTATGCTGGTGAAGGAAGTAACGGACGTAGTCAGAGACAACCTGAGAATCAGCAGCCTGCAAAAGAAACAAGAAGAGCTTATTGTAATCAGTAAAATACATCCGAGAAACCGAATTGCAAGTAAAATAAGAACAGCAAACATCCGAGTAAGAAACCCAGTAAGCAAAAGAGATTCAAAACGAAGTCTAGCAAGGTATATAGTTTCCACAGAACAGGTCAAACAAAAACAATAATGAAATCCCTAAGGGAGATTATTACCGATCCAGAGCGGCAGACGTAGACATTGTCTGTGAGTTGTGTGATCTTATCAGAAGCTCGATTCGCTACGTACATCCCTGCGCGAGTAATTCACAACAGATCCCAAATTCATCAGCTTTCTCAAAATTTCCCAAAGAGAACAATCGATTAGGCTTATTCTCCGTTCCGATTGAAACGAAACAAAGCTCAAAGACAAACCCAACGAAACCCTAGAAGAGTAGAGAAGGGGGGAAATCTCACCGGTGCTGGTACGCGAGTCGGCTCCGAGGACGACACCTCCATTGTAAGTGACGCCGATGATGGTCGTTCCCATGGAGTGAGGCGCATCGAGATTGAGATCCATCGCTGTAGAATTGGAAACTTCTGAGAAACGAAAAGAAACGCTCAGTTTTGCGAGTAAAAATTAGATTCCGGTGATGACTGATGAGAAGAAGGAAGCTTGAAATATAAGAACAACTCTGGCTTATACCCCAAGTCGGCCTCTTTCCTTTTTTTCTTTTTGGTTTTACATTATTTTTATTAAGTACATTATATTAAGCAAAGATAGAAACGTAAAAGCCCCATGTCTATTTGTCCTCATGGACCTTCCAAATACAAGCCCAATATCTATTTGTCCTCATGGATCTTCCAACCAATAATGGTGCTCTAAAGGACGTGATCTTATCAAGGTTTTGCTTCTTGTTGAAATGTGACTGATGAATTGTTTGGTCTTTTAATAATATGATCTAAATTTTGATGTTGTTTTATCTTTTAATAATATGATCTAAATTTTGTTTTAACATATTTAATTTTCTTCAAAAGGTGCACAAAACTAGGCACTCGTTAGGACAACACACAAGACGAGAGTTCCAAACACACAAAGATTACACTTCTCTATTAAGAAATCAAACTTTGTTATTATTAAAAAAAAAAAAAAAATAGACTTGATTGCACTCGTCTCTAAAGCCAATTAAGAAGAAAACTACAAGAGCTATATTGTAGTGGCAACAGCTTCTGGATGATGAGGAAGTATCTGATGAGCCGTGGGGACATTGTTCTTCGACTTGTTAGCTACACGGCTTGCTCTTGATTCCTTCACCGGTGTCACCTTCTTTGTCGTGGACTCTGCGAGAACCTTCCTCACCTCGTTTGCCAGCTCTATAACATAGTCCTCCTCATGCCCTGTGTGAAACAAAATGGCTTAACACATCAAAAACAATGTCTATCTTTTAACCATCAAGCTCAGAACCTTTTGACTACAAAGCCTGAGCAGATGTTTTTCAAGAGTGATTTGGTTTGGGGTTTTAATTTGCAAAAATTTGAAGTCAATGTGTGCTATTCGCATAAAGACTTCAATTTTTTTGCAAATTAAAACCCCAAACCAGTAATTCCTAATCATGTTATAGAAAAAGGGAGCTTGGACTAACCGATGTCGTGCATTGCCTTCTCGAGCAAGAAGAGATAATCTCTGTTGTTACCACATGGTCCATTGGCTGTCGCAATTTGTCTTTGAATACACAAAACAACAAGCTAGTGTGAGGACAATAATCTGGCATATAAATTATAGGAACAGAAGAATTTGGTCTGGACGCTAAGTGTTTACCTTGCCATGTCTTCTAATGGCGCAGGTCCAAGGTAATACTTGTTGGAGACCTTGTCTGGAGTAGAAGTGAATCTGAAGATTGTAAAGAAATGCATCCATCACAAATCACAACACAAAGAATTGTAGAAGAAAAGCAAAAGATACAGCAATTATTCGAATAATCGATGTGAGAACAGCTTCTAAAGGACCCGTGTCATATAAAACAACTTACACTATCACTCCAGTTACAGCTGGCTTCAGAGGATCATCTTCCTGTGTAAGAGAAGAAACTTTTGAGGTCAATTTTTAGTAGCATAAGAGAATAACAGGATTAATCAATAATATCGGGCGAGTTGTGACTCACCTTGTAAAAATCTACACATGTCTTGAGATCATATTCACACTCTCGACGTTCCAAGTACTGTGCACAAATAGAATGATCAAAACAAAGGCTTGAACATGAGACATCGATTTAGGTTTCAGATGCAAGGACATACCTCCATAGCCAGACGTTCTTTTTCTGGTCCTCCACGGACACAGAATGCAGTACCCCACTGTCAAGAAAGTATTGGAATGTTAGTAAGAAAAGAATAATGTGTGAGTAAACTAAGTAGACCACATGAACAGACTCTAAGATCCTTAAAATCATATACACATATTAAGAATAGCTACTTACGCATATGGCTTCTTCAGCTTTCTCGAGGGTGCAAGTTCTTGCAGGGTGTTCTGGTGTACCTCTATGATCAATGCAAGCTACCAAGTCAAATGAAAACACAAAACAATCAATCACCAATAGTTTGGAAGAAAAGATGCATCAATCAAATAAGCAAAGGAACCAAATTGTTATCTTCACAAAAAAAAAAACGTGTTACCAAGATCAAAGACACGTTTATATCCCTTGATGAAACCTAACACTTTCTCATCGTAGTGAAATCCTGGGTTCCACACAAGAGAGCCATAGCCAAAGACCCACATCACCATTTTCTGCAGTTATTTGCTGTAGATACACACAAAAAAACAAAATCTAAGATTTAGACACAAATCATGATTCTGTGGATGGTAAATGCCAAAAAAAAGGCACCATGTAGTAAAGACAAGACAAGAGCCTAACAAGTAAGACAAATTTTGGGTTCTCTTCAGGACAGCTCAGAATTCAATTCATAAAAGACACAAATCTTCTCTCTTTTTTTCAATTTGAAAAGCAAGGAAGATTTTCTAGGTAGCTTATGCGTTTCCAGGGCAGTGGTGGTGCAGGTATAACCATAAAGGACATGAATGATCAAACTTTTGGAACAAAGACAAAAAAATCTACTAGTAAACAGTGTTCCCAAAATCTAGAAAGAAGGGAAAAAAAAAGGTATAGACTTTTTCTATCCAGATTTGGTGCAATAATCAATAATCAAACAGAACAGTTAGAACATTTCCTGGATGACAATAAACAGACAGAGAAAATCACTAAGAAGATGCAACAGAAGCTACTTTAACCAAAATGCGGAAGAAGAATAAAAATCAAAACTTTACCCTGGAACACGATCTTTTCGAAGAGAAGAAACAATCCCACCGTGAGACAAGATCTCCTCTTTAAATTAGATAATCCGAGAAAAGCTGAGAAACTCGTGGGAGGAGAGATTGCAGAGAAAGGGTTGAGGGAACGACGTCGTCTCGGTTCGTATGGAGCTGGGAATGATAATGAGACCACTTAGCTCCTTTCTCCCTCCCTCCCTCTCTCTCTCTCTCTCAATCGAAATCTCTTTCTCTCTGCTCTGCTTCTCGAGATGTATTTTTTAATGAGGAGGAGGCGATGTGTGGGAAGCAGTGCATTTATAGAGAGAGAGATGGAGACCGAACCGTGTGATCATGCCACGCATGTTTTTTTTTTTTTTTTTTTTGTGTTCTGCAGATTTTTTTGTCTGTTCCGTTCGTCACGTGACTGGCCGGTGAAGACGCTTGTTTCTGGCCTTTCTAAAAAAAATCTCTGGTTCTCAAAACAAGGAATCTAATGTTAAGAAGAAGAAAAGAAAAAAAAAAGGAATTTGGTTGGAAGTGTCATTCACTATAGCAAAACTTATCAAAAATGCCACAAAACATAAACTTTTTCAAATATGCCACAAATGAACTTTATGAAATAATAAAGAAGGCGAAAATGCCCCTTGACTAAACAAGTGGGAAAGAGATGAGAATGTGTTGAGTACACAATACCCACGTACCTTTTTGTTTTTATTTGTGGTTTTAATTAATTTATATTTATTTAAATGTCAGATATTTGGTATTTAAATAATTTATGCAGATGCAATAAAGATGTCATTTATCGTGAACAACTACTATTATTGTCCACATCTAATATTCGTGGACAAAATCTAAAATCCTTGTCCATATTTGAAACAACAATTTCGAAGATATTTGGCGGACAAGATTTTGAATTAACAGACTTGAAGAATTTTGGTAGACAAGTATTGTTATCCACGTTCGAAACAACAGACTGGAAAGATTTTTGGTAGACGAAAAAACTTGTCTACATTTGAAACAATAGAGTTCAAAGATATTTGGCGGACAAGATTTTGAAATAACAGACTTGAAGAATTTTGGTAGACAAATATTGTTGTTCTCTAGGAGTGTCAAAATGGGTAACCCGACCCGACCCGATCCAAACCCATATGGGTTCGAATGTTTAATGGACGAGTTTGACCCGACCCATATATTTATATGGGTTGAATTTACATACCCAAACCCATTATTGTAGAAATTCATTGGCTTAATGGGTTATATGGGTACCCATATATATGTATAATAAAATATATAAATAATAAAAATCCAAAAAAATAACATAAAATTGTAAACCAACAAAAGTTTTTAAATAATAAATTAAAAAATCTAGATATTAAAATAGAAAAGCATCCTAAAATCTTAAAACCACAAATCCAAAGAACCATAAAACCAAAAAAAAAAAAAAAATAGTCTTAATTTAAAGAACATTTGAATCCTCTTTAGATGCATCCGATTCTCCCGCATCGAATTCTGGCCTCATTCTTCATCTTCGGCTTCATTGTCTACAAACGAGTTGGAAAAAATATTATACATATATTTTACTTTTTACTTTTATTTTTAAGTTTTACTACATCATATGGCACATTTGTTAGAATTCTCAACAAAAAATCTAATTCATAAAGTGAAATGATTTTTTTTTTTTATGGAAACTCATATATCCAAAATCTACACTTATTTAATTTCCCTAATAAATGATAATTGGCTAATTTAAAAAGTGTTAAAACTTGATCTTTGAGGCAAACAAAAACACAGTCACAAAACACAAGCGTCAGAATGTATGTGTTACACAAAGCCATATACATACATTGCCATTACCGACGTCACTGATACATAAAAGAAATAATAACATCTTTTTGGGCTTAGGTTAACGTAAATAAGACTAAACTAAAAAATGTTTCCCACGACTATTGCTTCTTCTCGAATTATACCATAAAATATTTCTAGAAAGCAAAAACTAGATCTCCACAAAATTATCTTTGTTTTTCCAAATATTAAATTGGAATAAATGTATTCTTATATAATTGTTAGGCTTTTTGAGGATTGGACCACTCATCGGCGAGTGTTTCCTATATTGGATAATGAGGTCTTGTAATTGGGGATATGTTCAGTAAAATACATGTTAAAGATGATTAGTTGTTTATAACCTTAAGTGGTTCGCTTGAATCATAGTGAAGATTTTAGTCTACAAATGTATACATTTAATTTTGACAAAGAAAAAAAAAACAAATTGTTTTAGTTATTTTTCTCTTCAAAATCAATCTATCAAAAGATGGAAAATAAAATAAATCAATCTATCAAAATTGTTAGGGCCATTTAAACAAAAAGAAAAGTTTGGGCCGAATTCAATAAAAACGTTTGGGCCTGTTAAACAATAATATTTGCTTCGGCTTCACTCGGTTCCTCATCGTCTTGGATCAAACTTCAGAGTGACTTGCTGACATCGACGTGTCGTCGTTATCCAGAAGCAGTTTCCGACGATCTGGTAATTTTTGATCCGTGTTTAGTTCCTGAATCTAGCTGGAACTTTTGTGGTTCCAAGTTATTCTTCAATTTTGAAAAATCTAGCTGCATTTTTGTGGATTTTATCCGTGTTTAGTTCCTGAATTTGAAAATCGTTTCCCATTCTCAGATTTACTCAAAATTCTGGATAAAAACATGCAGATGCACCTCTTGGTTATTGTTCATTGACAATAGGCTTTAGAGTTTCAAATCACAGTTATGTTGTAATGTGTTGCTGATGATGATGATGATGATATTAACGAGGTTAATGAACCAAATTGCAGTTTGAGCTTTTTTGGATGGAGGAAGGAACTTCGGGTTCACGGAGAACACGGTCTCAAGTTGCTCCGGAGTGGGCAGTCAAAGACTGTCTGATACTTGTGAATGAGATCGCTGCTGTCGAAGCGGACTGTTCGAATGCTTTATCTAGCTTCCAGAAATGGACAATGATCTTAGAGAACTGTAACGCTTTGGATGTACGCAGAAATCTAAACCAATGCAGGAGGAAATGGGATTCGTTGATGTCTGATTACAATCAGATCAAGCAGTGGGAATCCCAGTACCGAGGCACTGGTCGTTCCTATTGGTCCCTGAGTAGTGACAAGAGGAAGTTACTGAATCTCCCGGGGAATATCGATATCGAGCTTTTTGAAGCCATCAGTGCTGTTGTGATGATCCAAGATGAAAAAGCTGGGACTGAATCTGATAGTGACCCGGAAGCGCAAGACGTTGTTGATATCACTGCTGAATTAGGTACACTACACTATCCTTTTCTTGCCCCTTAGGAATCTTAAGAACAAATAGTGCATAGCCGCACAGACAGACTTATTCAGTACTTCAAGATACAGAATGATGAATTTGTCGGTATAGTTGAAATTTATGTAGAACACTTTCCTTTGGGGTTTCCCGTGAGGCTCTATCGTGAGCTAGCATATGCTTATATTGCTCTTTTCGTAGTTACCATCTTTAGGTAAATACTAAATAGAGGTGCATAAATGTGAACTGCTCCATTTGGAGTTACTTGGATCAGTCCAGAATCACTGACACTCCATTTGGTGCTAACCACTCGAATCACTTTGGTCTTAAATTCAGCTTTTGTAGGATCAAAAAGATCAAGACAGCGAACAATTGTCATGAAGGAGAACCCCCCACAGAAGACAAAGAAAGAAGAACCACAGATAAGTCGAGTTCAAGTAAACACTCGAGAGAAACCTATAACTGCAAAAGCAACCCATCAGAAAAAAACCATGGAAGAGAAGAGGCCGATGGAAGAAATCTCTACGGATGAAGAAGAAGAAGAGGAAACAATGAACATAGAAGAGGAGGTAGAAGTGATGGAAGCGAAGCTAAGTTATAAAATTGACTTGATACATGCGATAGTTGGGAGAAATCTAGCAAAAGATAATGAAACAAGGGATGGTATTAATACGGACGACAAGTTGAAGTTCGTGAGACAGCAAGGAGACGAGCTCATCGGTTGTCTGAGTGAAATTGTTAGTACCCTTAATAGGCTTCGTGAAGTTCCACAATAAATCGAGTGATTTACAAGGTGAATAACTTTCAGCTGTAAATGTTTAGCCATTTGCTTCTTTGGAATCGTAATAATAGACTTGTAGTGTTTCAATAAGCTGGCGCTAATTAGATGTTTAAATATAAAAACTGTACTCTGTGTAGTATACATTCAAAAATGGTAAATAGTAGTAAAATATCGACTTCACTGGGGATCGAACCCAGAATCTCTGGTTTCGTAGACCAGCGCCTTATCCATTGGGCCATGAAGTCTTTCATGCCAAAGAAATAGAAATACATGTATATAATGAAGTCTTTCAAACCAACTGAAAAAAAAAACCAAAAAAAATTGCATGAATTATGAAGCTATGCATATATCCAATGTTATGTAAGACTATCTTACAGGGCTACCAGCTGGTGGATTCGGTGTCCATAAAGAATCCATCCGTGTATAAGATTTGCCAATGTCATAAATAACATAGTACATCATGTCCCTGCCTGATTAGAGAATCTAGGAACAAACAAGGATTCATTCTGAAAAACCTAAAACCAAACAAAATGATATGTCTTTGAAACACAAAAGCTAGAAGAAAGGATCATAAGAGGTTACAGAGCATTTTGTTCAGAGATTGTAGCAAATTGCAATGACAAAAGATAAGAAGAGAAATTAAGCAGGAGGAAATGAAAGGACAACGACATATTACTAGTCCAAGGATAGAGGATAAAAGAACAAGAGTGATAAATCACTGAGTGACGCCGCTTGATGAACCAGCAGCAGCCAAAGCTTCCATCAAGAAAGCCTTTCTTCGCTTAATCACGTCCTTGAGATCAGCCATCAATGTCGCAGCGAGTTCTTTCTCGTGAAGGCTTAATGGATCCTTTGGCACAGCTCTTCCTTGCTTCATGGCATCCATAAGATGAGCCCTCAAAGCATCCGGATCACGCAATGATGGCTTGAAGTCAAAAGTTCCAGGGGGAAGACACTCCTTGTATTGCTTCATCATTGCCTTCAAAGCAGCCGGTTCTATCCCTAGTGGCTTAAACACAGAGTTTGGTCGGATAAGAGTCTGCACGAAGCGCTTATGTATCTCTAAAGCAAGCTTAGGTTTCCCTTTCACAAAATCATCGTTTGCATATTCAAAGTGGTCAGACTCAACTTCTGTAAAACCCTACAAGGCATCAAAAGATCCAAAGGTGTATAATTAAAGGCACGAAGAAACACACTAATTCACGGCCAAAACAATCTATATATAAATAAGAAAACAAAACTTACATATGTCTCAAGCCGCTTCACGAATATTGGAAAAGAAGATATCCTAACGACCCTCGGAAGAAGATCTCTGCAAAACTCTTGCTGATCCCAGATGATGAAACTCTTGCCGTTCTCGCCCCATGAGATTACTGAATTCGTTTTACGGTCATTCACAATCTTATATAATACTCTGGGGAAATAGCGGCGTGCGAGAGGTGGATGATCAGTAGTATACAACCATCACCCATCCCTAAACAATTGCAAACCCTAGCAATCAATCACCAACAATTAGTTATGCAACCAACAACAATTATGAGCCGAGACAAAAAACAAACAATTGAACGAGAGAAAAAGACAAAATTACAAGGATTAGGTCTGAAGTTCAATTCAAGATATCCGACCTTGCCGTGGTGTTCCCGCTTCCGTCCGGCGTCTGTCCAAACTCTAAAGATAGAATTTTGTTTTGTTTTGAAAATTGTTACGAAATAAAGGGATCGCCATCCAAAGACACATTTGTAACGACCTATACGGCTACGACGGGCGTCGTTTTAGTTTACTATTTAGCACCACAAAATTGCTTTATTCTCTAAGGTTACCAAACTCCTAATTAAATTGACATGACATATGGAGCCAAAAGTTTTGTACAACAAAAAGCTGTCGTGGATCTACATTGTTCATTAGATAAAAGTAAATATCATTAATATGAAAGTTCGGAGGTGTTACAAAAGAAGACCTATACATTTGAAACCTTGCCAAAAAAGAAATAAAAAAACAAGGAGACAATAACGCATTCTCAAGATTTAGGAGAAAGCAAAGATCATTTACTACGGTTCCTGAATTTCTTCATCTTCTTACGGGCTGTGATTAAGTTGATAACTATAACTGCATGCAGCTTCATTTTTGACTCCTTTGAAGATAATTAATTGCAGCAGCTTCAGGATGTACATATATAATATAGTGGATTATTTTTGGTCTGTACGTTATTAACAAAAAAAGCTGGAGGAGAAGGAGACTTTTGTAAGGAAGATATATCTATAAGAAAATCCATGAAACTACACCTTTTTTTTGTTTTTGGGATTGAGTATATATTTTCGATTATTTTAAAATATATCAACTAGTAATATTAGCGCGATAAAGAATTTGGAATGCAATACATTTGAATTTCTTAATCATATTAGTTTGTATTTCTGTTACAAAAATCTAGTACAAATGATAAACACGTAATCAAGATATCTAATAAAAAAATCTATGATTGTGTGCTTACACACAGTACTTGGTTCCACGTTGTTGGCGAAAACGATTGTGTGCTTTGACCTTTGCTGTCATTCACCATCAGCCGTCCTTTCATTCTTCTTCCGGCAAGTCTCATCCCATTTGATTAATCCATAGAGAAGCCGTCCAACAAATACGTCTTCCGACGTATAAATCTCTCCTCTTCCTCTCATATCCCAAAAATTTCGAAATTTTTCACCGAAATGACCCGTGATGACAAGTTCCCGATCGTATACTCTCTGTTATTAATCGCCGTGTTCTTCGCTTCTCCTATCTCCAGCGAAGATGATTTTGATGCTCTGTTGAAGTTCAAGTCATCTCTCGTTAACGGCACCACCCTCGGTGGATGGGACTCCGGCGAACCTCCTTGTTCCGGTGAAAAAGGAAGCGACTCGAAATGGAAAGGAGTGATGTGTTCTAACGGCTCCGTTTTCGCTCTCCGTCTCGAGAACATGAGCCTCTCCGGCACGCTTGACGTTCAAGCGCTCGGGTCCATTCGCGGTCTCAGGAGCATCAGCTTTATGCGTAACCATTTCGAAGGGAAGATCCCACGTGGACTCAACGGGCTTGTCTCGTTGGTGCATCTTTACCTTGCGCATAACCGGTTTTCAGGCGAGATAGACGGTGATTTGTTCGCCGGAATGAAGGCTCTTATGAAGGTTCATCTTGAAGGAAACCAATTTTCCGGTAAGATTCCGGAGTCGTTGGGGAAATTGCCGAGGCTGACTGAGCTGAATCTTGAGGATAATATGTTCACCGGAAAGATACCGGCGTTTAAACAGAAGAATCTCGTTACCGTTAACGTTGCTAATAATCAGTTAGAGGGTCGAATTCCGTTTACTCTCGGCCTTATGAACATCACTTTCTTCTTAGGTGATAATCATCATCTCTATTTATTTTTTCTCTGACTAATTAATTATGATGATCATATTTTACATTTATAATTTGATATACGTACTTAATTTACAACACAACAATTGTGGTTTTAATCTTACAAATATATATATAATCGAGCTTAACTTTGTCTAATTGTCACTATCAAAGGAAAATTTGAACATATTGGTTTTGGAGTCTTTGGTAAGTTGTGAGCACGTTTTAGGCATTAAGTTTTGCATGTAAAAGTTACAAATATGAGTTTATTTCTTCTTTTGACGTGATTTTAAATTGACAAAAAAAAACTCGAGAAAATACTCTCTTTGACCGAATTATTAGTGGGCCTCTATAGAAATGGGCCATGTAAGATTCAATAATTCGTTTGGGCCTTAAAACAGGTAACAAGGGGCTATGTGGAGCGCCGTTGCTTCCGTGCAGATACACTCGTCCGCCGTTCTTCACCGTGTTTCTCCTTGCCCTCACCATCCTCGCCGTCGTAGTCCTCATTACCGTCTTCCTTTCCGTTTGCATTCTCAGCCGCCGTCAAGCCAAAGGTCAAGACCAAAGCCAAGGCCACGGCCACGTTCATGGCCAAGTCTACGGACAAACCGAGCAACAACACAGTGAGAAGAGCTCGCAGGACTCCAAAGTCTACAGAAAACTAGCTAATGAAACTGTGCAGCGAGATTCAACGGTAACATCAGGAGCATTATCAGTGGGAGGTCTGTCTCCAGACGAAGACAAGCGAGGAGATCAACGGAAGCTACATTTCGTTAGGAATGATCAGGAGAGATTCACGCTTCAGGATATGCTCCGTGCATCGGCGGAGGTTCTCGGAAGCGGCGGGTTTGGATCGTCGTACAAAGCGGCTTTATCGAGTGGCCGTGCGGTGGTTGTGAAGCGGTTTAGGTTTATGAGTAACATCGGGAGAGAAGAGTTTTACGATCATATGAAGAAGATCGGACGATTGTCTCACGCTAATCTCCTTCCATTGATCGCTTTCTATTACAGAAAAGAAGAGAAGCTTCTCGTCAGCAATTACATATCCAATGGAAGTCTCGCAAATCTCCTCCATGGTAAAATTAAGGAACTTTGTTCATGTTCATCTGAATCTGATGATGATTTGAGGAATCTGATGGAATTGGTTTGATTTTGCAGCAAATAGAACACCAGGTCAAGTGGTTTTGGATTGGCCGATTAGATTAAAGATTGTAAGAGGTGTTACGAGAGGTTTGGCTTATCTCTATAGAGTGTTCCCTGATTTGAATCTTCCTCATGGCCATCTCAAGTCTTCCAATGTGTTGCTTGACCCCAACTTCGAGCCGCTTCTAACGGACTACGCTCTCGTCCCGGTTGTTAACAGAGATCAATCACAGCAGTTCATGGTGGCTTACAAGGCACCTGAGTTCACTCAGCAGGATCGGACTTCGAGAAGATCCGATGTCTGGAGCCTTGGAATCTTGATTCTTGAGATTCTGACAGGGAAGTTTCCGGCGAATTATCTCCGGCAAGGGAAAGGAGCTGATGATGAGTTAGCTGCTTGGGTTGAGTCTGTAGCGAGAACAGAGTGGACTGCTGATGTGTTTGATAAGGAGATGAAAGCAGGGAAAGAACATGAAGCACAAATGTTGAAGCTGCTCAAGATTGGGTTGAGATGTTGTGATTGGGACATTGAGAAGAGAATTGAGCTTCATGAGGCTGTTGATCGAATAGAAGAGGTTGATAGAGATGCTGGTGGAGGTCAAGAGAGTGTTCGATCTTCATACGTGACTGCTAGTGATGATGATCATCGTTCTTCTAGAGCTATGACTGAGGAGTTCTCGCTCATGTAATAGCTTACATTGAAAGGCCTGTATCTTTCTCTGGTCTCCACTAGTCTTCTTCTTCATCTAATTCTCATTTCCTTGATATTTGTTGATCAAGTCCGTGTCTTTGTTTGTAGGTAAAGACAATTTATTTGTTATTGCCAGGGTTATTTATTCGCATTCAGTTGTTTTTTCCCCTAGTTTTAACAGATATGATTGATGAGTAAAGCTTCAAGCTTTTGTTCTTTTGTTGATTTTTTTCACCACCTTTCAGCTATTTCCTCATTTTGTGAATATTCTTTCGTGCCGTATTTTGGTATCATCTAGACGCAAAAGAATGTCTTTTATGTCCATTTCTTCTTCAACTTGTCCACTTTCTGATGCAGCGTTGAGATAAGCAAGAATATAAAATTAATGGTTTTCACAAGCTTGTTGCTTTAGATTTTGGGTAACCTTTGTAGATGGTATATTCTTTGAGGATATTGATTTACTTTTACTTGTTCGTTTGACAGAGACTTCAATAAAGTTTATATCTTTTTCTATTTATATATCCTTGTCCCCGTGTGATTTCCTTTATCCCCTTTTCTTGGAATTTACAAGCTTAATCAACCGAGAGGCATATCAATAAGAATTAAACCTGTTTGGAAAATCTTGTTACAATCTACTCTGTATTGAAACTCGTCTCTGTGTAGTTTCCTCGTATTAAAGGTTTTAGCTATACCACCATCTCTCTGGTATCAGGTATGTTAAGTTTTGTTTGTAGCTTTTCTCAACAGGCCATCGTCTGTGAAACCTGTTATATATTGTCTGCGTTTCAGTTTTTTTCAGCTGTATGTTCTGGGGTTCTGATGTTTTGAAACTGGGGTTGATATTTCTGTATGTTTGATCATCCCATGTGTCTATGAAGGGATGGATCTTAGGGTTTTGTAATCCAGAAAAAGAACTCAGGTTTAACTGTAGAGAACTTGTCAGTCTTCAAGAGTTTACTTAATTACAACGCATATTCTCATTTCTTTAGAAGCCTTTCGAGTTGGAATTCGCTTAAGCCATTTTGGATAACATGTAATAGCATGTACTCCTACAATAAAGCTAAGGTACCTGTTCTTGATGAAGCATGTTGTCTCATATTGGTTTTAGGTTTCTGAGCAGAAGCAAGATAAAGACATAGTGGTGTTGCAGTTTAGATGGCAGTATCAACTGATTACCAAGTTAAGTTTCCTGAAAGTGGTGATCTTTACTCTATACTAGCAGCTGAAGGGATTGAGTTTCTTTTGTCGCATAGTGGAGAGGTACGGCTTATGCTCTCTCGTTTATTATATTTTGATATTTTCGTCTGGTCTTTTATACTCAACTATAAGCTCACTTCAATCAGGTGCCGTTGGAATATATTCATGGCAAGACGATTTGTCTCTTCTTCTCTGCAAACTGGTGCAGGCCTTGCAAGGACTTCACTCCAGAGCTGGTAAAACTCTACGAAAATCTTCAAACCCGAGGAGAAGAACTCGAGATCATCTTTGTATCGTTTGATCATGATATGACTTTATTCTATGAACATTTCTGGTGCATGCCATGGCTCGCAGTCCCCTTCAATTTAAACCTACTCAACAAATTAAGGGACAAGTACAGAATTTCTCGTATCCCGTCACTGGTTCCTCTATATTCAGATGAAATCTCAGTCGCTGAAGATGTAATTGGTCTAATTGAAGATTATGGTCCTGAAGCATTTCCTTTCACTAAAAAGAGAAAAGAAGAACTCAAAGCTATCGATGACTCCAAACGCATTGGTGGACAATTGGAGAAACTCCTTACTCATGAGTCCCGAAATTACGTTGTTGCCAGAAATGGAAGTAAGGTAAAAATAACTGACTTATAGACTTCAGATATCTGGTCGGATCAAATGATCATATATGATTATGTCTATGAACATTATGCAGGTGCTAGTTTCTAAACTAGTGGGCAAGACTATAGGGTTGTACTTTGGTGCCCACTGGTGTCCGCCTTTTCGATCTTTCACTTCTCAGCTCCTGGATGTGTACAATGAGCTCGCGACCAGAGATAAAGGCTCCTTTGAAGTCATCTTAGTTTCAACAGACAGAGACTCAAGAGAGTTTAACATCAACATGACCAATATGCCATGGCTTGCAATACCTTATGAGGACAGAACAAGACAAGACCTTTGTAGAATCTTCAGCATCAAACTCATACCTGCATTGGTCATCATAGGACCGGAAGAGAAAACAGTGACCACAAACGCAAGAGAGATGGTATCGTTGTATGGATCAAGGAGTTTCCCATTCACAGAATCAAGGATTGTTGAGTTAAAAGCTTGTTTGAAGAAAGAAGGTGATTCACTTCCAAGGAAAGTGAAGGATAAGAAGCATGAACATGAGCTAAAGCTGGATATGGCGAAAGCTTATGTGTGTGATTTCTGTAAGAAGCAAGGCAGGTTTTGGGCGTTTTCTTGCGATGCTTGCGATTATGATCTTCATCCTACATGTGTGGAAGAACAAGACGCATTGTTGGTTTAGCAAAAGAGACATTAGTCGTGATTTGTCTGAATGATTTTGTAATATTAGTAAACATAGAAGACAGTCGTCGGGATATATTATGTTCTCAAAATGAAATTAAGAAATCAATGGGCCATGCCATGTAAAACAACAAATCACAAGTTTAGGAATTAGGATCAAGATTGTAATTAGATGTTCTGTTTGTATAATCAACATTCTGTTTTCATTAATAGAAAAGTATATTTTATATTTACATTTTCTTACAAGTATATAGATTGAAAAGTAAGTCTTAGCTTATGATTTTTTTTGTTTTCATTTCTTTAATATTCATTTGGATATAATCTGATTTCTAATACTCCTACAATAAAGCTAAGGTAACCTGTTCTTGATGAAGCATGTTGTCTCATATTGGTTTTAGGTTTCTGAGCAGAAGCAAGATAAAGACATAGTGGTGTTGCAGTTTAGATGGCAGTATCAACTGATTACCAAGTTAAGTTTCCTGAAAGTGGTGATCTTTACTCTATACTAGCAGCTGAAGGGATTGAGTTTCTTTTGTCGCATAGTGGAGAGGTATGGCTTATGCTCTCTCGTTTATTATATTTTGATATTTTCGTCTGGTCTTTTATACTCAACTATAAGCTCACTTCAATCAGGTGCCGTTGGAATATATTCATGGCAAGACGATTTGTCTCTTCTTCTCTGCAAACTGGTGCAGGCCTTGCAAGGACTTCACTCCAGAGCTGGTAAAACTCTACGAAAATCTTCAAACCCGAGGAGAAGAACTCGAGATCATCTTTGTCTCGTTTGATCATGATATGACTTTATTCTATGAACATTTCTGGTGCATGCCATGGCTCGCAGTCCCCTTCAATTTAAACCTACTCAACAAATTAAGGGACAAGTACAGAATTTCTCGTATCCCGTCACTGGTTCCTCTATATTCAGATGAAATCTCAGTCGCTGAAGATGTAATTGGTCTAATTGAAGACTATGGTCCTGAAGCATTTCCTTTCACTAAAAAGAGAAAAGCAGAACTCAAAGCTATCGATGACTCCAAACGCATTGGCGGACAATTGGAGAAACTCCTTACTCATGAGTCCCGAAATTACGTTGTTGCCAGAAATGGAAGTAAGGTAAAAATAACTGACTTATAGACTTCAGATCTCTGGTCGGATCAAATGATTATATATGATTATGTCTATGAACATTATGCAGGTGCTAGTTTCTAAACTAGTGGGCAAGACTATAGGGTTGTACTTTGGTGCCCACTGGTGTCCGCCTTTTAGATCTTTCACTTCTCAGCTCCTGGATGTGTACAATGAGCTCGCGACCAGAGATAAAGGCTCCTTTGAAGTCATCTTAGTTTCAACAGACAGAGACTCAAGAGAGTTTAACATCAACATGACCAACATGCCATGGCTTGCAATACCTTATGAGGACAGAACAAGACAAGACCTTTGTAGAATCTTCAGCATCAAACTCATACCTGCATTGGTCATCATAGGACCGGAAGAGAAAACAGTGACCACAAACGCAAGAGAGATGGTATCGTTGTATGGATCAAGGAGTTTCCCATTCACAGAATCAAGGATTGTTGAGTTAAAAGCTTGTTTGAAGAAAGAAGGTGATTCACTTCCAAGGAAAGTGAAGGATAAGAAGCATGAACATGAGCTAAAGCTGGATATGGCGAAAGCTTATGTGTGTGATTTCTGTAAGAAGCAAGGCAGGTTTTGGGCGTTTTCTTGCGATGCTTGCGATTATGATCTTCATCCTACATGTGTGGAAGAACAAGACGCATTGTTGGTTTAGCAAAAGAGACATTAGTCGTGATTTGTCTGAATGATTTTGTAATATTAGTAAACATAGAAGACAGTCGTCGGGATATATTATGTTCTCAAAATGAAATTAAGAAATCAATGGGCCATGCCATGTAAAACAACAAAACACAAGTTTAGGAATTAGGATCAAGATTGTAATTAGATGTTCTGTTTGTATAATCAACATTCTGTTTTCATTAATAGAAAAGTATATTTTATATTTACATTTTCTTACAAGTATATAGATTGAAAAGTAAGTCTTAGCTTATGATTTTTTTGTTTTCATTTCTTTAATATTCATTTGGATATAATCTGATTTCTAATATCTTTTAGATGCAGTTTTGAAAAAAAGAAAAAACATATTCTAGATTTGTTGTGTGCAAAACAAAAAAGCCGTTTGTTGGTAAAGAGAGGCGGGGAAGAAGGAGAGGCACTCAAAACAGAGAGAGAGAAGCAGAGTCAATGGATTTTTATAGAAAGCTCTCCTCTTCTCTTCATTTCCTTTTTTTCATTTCCTACAATATTACAGACCAAGAACAATCAAACGGATCTTCTTAGAAAGGAGACACACCCAAGAACTTAAAGAAAACAAACCATATATTTGTCCATTGAAGCTCAAAACATCTTTTTGTGTAGTGCTCTTAGACTTGGATGGCGAAGCACAGGAGGGACAGAGACGGAGGATTTGGCGTGGATGGATTGGTTGCTGTGGCCATCGACAGAGACAAAAACAGCCAAACTGCTCTGAAATGGGCTGTTGATAATTTGTTGCAGAAAGGCCAAACCGTCGTCCTCGTACATGTCAAGCCTCGGGCTTCATCTTTGTCCACAAACCCTTCAATCAACTCAAACTCTTCTAGTAAAAAATCTTTCTTCTACATCTTCTCTGTTTCTAGTTCCTTCTGCTTCTTTTATCTTTCTTCTCGATAGCTGATGGGTTTGTCTCTTTCAGAGATGAGCCAAATAAATAATGATTCTTCATTGGTGTGTGGAGACCCAGAAGGCTCTTATAAACAGTTGTTCCTTCCTTTTCGTTGTCTCTGTTCACGCAAAGATGTGAGTCTCCATGTGAAATATAAGCCAGAAAACAAATTTACCTGTGTTCTGTCTCTTCCTATGCTTATAAATTGAAATGGAACATGTTCAGATACAATGCAAAGATGTGTTATTGGAGGAGTCAGATGTGGCGAAAGCTTTAGTCGAATACGCAAATCAGGTCGTGATTGAGGTATTGGTGGTTGGTTCCTCTTCAAAAGGTGGCTTTCTCAGGTGTGTTTTTTTCATCTTTTTCTTTCCGGTTTTGCTATGAATCTTTTAACAAGAAATGTTCGATCAGATGTCAAAATTTGTCTCTGCAGGTTCAACAAACCTACAGATATTCCAGGAACCATCACCAAGACCGCACCTGATTTCTGCACGGTTTATGTCATAACCAAAGGAAAGCTTTCAACAAAGAAAACAGCTTCTCGTGCTGCGCCGTCTGTTTCTCCATTACGCATCCAGCTTCAACAGACTAGCTTAAAGCCACATCCACCTTTGCCTTCTGCAACTACTAACACAAGAGGTTAAAAAACAATATGGCTTTTCTACGTGTTTCTTCATGTCAATCTCCTGCACGTTTCTGAATTTGTTTTATTCTTGGTTTCCGGTAGCTGAGAGACAGTCATTTGAGTCTCAGCATCGCAGGTCCCTTGACGATCAGTCAGATTCCTTCAGGTTCGCATCACTCTTGTTTTTTCATTTGACACGCTTGGGAAATCATGACCATAGACTTTAGACGATGAAAGTTCTTGACTGAAACAGGTCACCCTACACTAGAAGAGGCTTGAATGGGAGATCATATGGAGACCTATCAATCCCGGATTCTGACATATGCTTCAACAGCTCTGGAAGACCAAGCATTGAGCGCAACTCTCCTTCCTTGTACGACAATTCGGATCCAAACCGGACTCCTCCAAGGCTATCAAATTTCTCAGACATTGACTATGGTAGCTTCGAGTCAATGACCTTCGGAAGGAGGTCAATGGATATAAGCTCACCAACTGCTTTCTCAACTGGCTCATTTGAGAATGAAAGGTTTTCATCGGCTTCTCAAGGAGGGGTAAGACTGATCTGTGAATCTTTTTCCCTGTTACATACTTGGAACTCCTAGATGCAAGAGGTTTTATGGCTGAGAATTGTAACCAGGATGATGTAGAGGCTGAGATGAGGAGGCTTAAACTGGAGCTGAAACAAACGATGGAAATGTACAGTACAGCTTGCAAGGAAGCTCTCACAGCAAAACATAAGGTATAATTCTCGCAAAAATGATTAGTGTTGCTTCATTGTTGATTCAAAAGCGAAATTTTGAACCTGCAGGCAACAGAGCTTCAACGCTGGAAGTTAGCAGAAGAAAGGAAATTCGAAGAGGCAAAGCTTGCAGAGGAAGCTGCATTAGCCATTGCGGAGAAGGAGAAAGCAAAGTCCAAAGCAGCAATGGAAGCAGCTGAAGCAGCTCAAAGGATTGCTGATATCGAGTCCCGAAAGAGAGTCGATGCAGAAATGAAAGCTCTGAAGGAATCAGAGGCGAGAACAAAAGCCGTGAATGCTTTAGCAAACTCAGATGTCAGATACAGGAAGTACTCCATCGAGGAGATTGAGGATGCAACAGAGTTCTTTGATGAGAAATACAAGATCGGAGAAGGCGGTTATGGACCTGTCTACAAGTGTTATCTGGATCACACACCTGTGGCTGTGAAAGCTTTGCGCCCAGATGCAGCTCAAGGCAGGTCACAGTTTCAGCAAGAGGTGAAGTCTCGTAACAAAGTCTATGAAAAAATTTATACACCTCGGGCTCTTTCTTGGCTAACTGACTTTAATTAAGTTTTCTTCTATTTATCAACTAAACACAGGTTGAAGTGTTAAGCAGTATAAGGCACCCTAACATGGTTCTTCTGCTTGGAGCATGCCCAGAATGTGGATGCTTAGTGTATGAGTTCATGGCTAATGGGAGCTTAGAAGACCGTCTTTTCAGAGAAGGAGACAGCCCGCCCCTCTCTTGGCAAACAAGATTCAGAATTGCTGCAGAGATCGGCACTGTACTGTTGTTCCTCCACCAGACTAAACCAGAACCATTGGTTCACCGTGATCTCAAACCAGCAAATATCTTACTAGACCGCAACTTTGTCAGCAAGGTTGCTGATGTTGGCTTGGCTAGGCTGGTCCCTCCATCCGTTGCAAACACCGTGACGCAATACCGCATGACATCAACTGCTGGCACATTTTGCTACATCGACCCAGAGTATCAACAGACGGGGATGCTGGGTGTGAAATCTGACATTTATTCGCTTGGCATTATGTTTCTGCAGTTAATAACAGGAAAACCACCTATGGGTCTAACCCATTATGTGGAAAGAGCCCTCGAGAAGGGTAATTTGAAAGATTTGCTCGATCCTGCTGTGTCTGATTGGCCTGTTGAAGATACCACAGAGTTTGCCAAGTTGGCTCTCAAGTGCGCAGAGATAAGGCGAAAAGACAGACCTGATCTTTCCAAAGTTATATTGCCAGAGCTCAACAGATTAAGAGTACTTGCTGAAGAATCAACAAAGACTGCAGTAGTCATTAATAGCCCCGGACCAACCCCCACTGAGAGTCAAAGTTCCTCCCCCAAGTTGTGAGAAATGATAAACAATTGATCTGCACATAAAAAGAGACAGAGGATTCAAATGCAACTAGTAATCCATTTTCCACCTAAGTTACACTTATCCTTAAAAGGTATACACGCTCATGAAAAAGGCAACTGAATTTGTATGCTCACTATATAATACAGTAGAGTCTTTCACTTGTAGATAATGTACAGATGATTAAAGTTAACTTACCATCTAGCTAAGGATTGAGGAAATTCAGTGATGAAACCTTTTTTTTCCTGCAACTTCTCTAACATAAGCCAATTCAAAGGTAAAATACCACACTTCCATAATCATAAAAAGAATGGATATTTTTATATCATTAAAAAATATGTAATGATTTTACAACAATGTCCAATCTTTTCCATTACGATTATTAGTCTGATATTACCAAAAAAGAATAATAATAGTCTTCATCAGAGCTAATGCTCTTCTCCATCCATGTAAGCTCACAAACCAATTGTTTCTTAGCATGCGTCGCGCTGTGGATTAGATTACATCACTACCGCAACTTCTTCCTCTCCTTTCTCTTCCTCAGGCTGGATACCCTTAGGTGGTCTGCCACTATGTCTCGCATTTTTGCCAGACAAGAGCTTCATTGCTTTCTCTAAAGTAACCTCACCTGGTTCCGTGTTCTGCCAAGTACCAAGTTATCCTCAATGAAAACGACAACACTTTTAACTCATTTCATAACATAGAAAACAATAGATCCTAGCAGATCCACACCTTATTTCCGTATCAAATATAGCACCAACATCTCCTAATAAATGCTCCTCTTATTCTACCTATATCACACTCTAAGAAGGTATCAAACAACTGTACATAACTATACCTTTGGAACAGTAGCCATAGTGCAGCGATGTTTAATAGTAAATCCAGATTTACTAAGCCTTAAGACCACAGGCTGTCCATCTATAGGGTGGTTTCCCTGGTAGAAATCAGTATACCAAGTCGTTAGCACTCCGAAATGTTGAAACAGCCTAACCTTTATATCAGTCTTACCAGTGTCAAAGGATAGCGTAATAATTCGAGAGCACTTTCAAGCGTAATGGAGTTCACATCCTTTATCTGAAAAATAAGGTTGCAGGAGATTTCTCAGTAAGAAAAGGTAAGCATTATCTTACCAGGACATTACTGGCACACATATGCACACTGAATGTGTGATCAGTATGCCACCGTTTATGTAAGAAGAAAACATAGACATATTTATTTGATTGATAAAACTCCAACATACATGGGCCGCATTTGCTCGTTTTGGTGTGTGCCCTTTTTTATCTTCACCGAGCTGTACATAATGCCCATAGGGGCCACACTTTAAAATAACCTGAATAAGGAAATGGATTCAGCAAATTAAAGTTTTAGCAAATTGTGAACAAAAAAGGGTCAGAACAGCGAGACCTTCTCACTGGTATTGGGATGAAGACCCAGCAATTTGGGCTCTTCTACGCAGGTATTCTTTGGAGGATCATCTTCATCTTCATCCTCTCCATAAATCGTTTTAGCAATGAACCTGTATATGAACCACATAGCTCATTATGTCAGCGACCATGTTAATATAGATAGATTAAAAACTCAAAAAAAAGTTAATAGGTAAATTCTGATAAGAGAGGATACATAAGTATCTTAGGTGTAAAAAATTAGAGACTCAACAGCCTACGACTTACTTGCATGAAGGGTGCTGATCACAACCGATGAAATACCCCGCACCATACTTACTTGCTTTGAAACTTAAGGTGCCTTCCATACAACTGCAACATGGAAAGAAACTATAAAGATCAACATACACTCATTCAAACTATAAAGAAACTTTGTCTTATTTAGGCCTCCTCTGTATATCACTAACGCGAAAGTATCTTTAGCATGGGCAGCCATATATGAAAGCATGGGGTTTGTCAACTTTTAAATCAGTAGCTCTATCTTGAAATTAATTAGCATTAATGGTATGCTGACCTCGGGCATGTCCTACTGGGATAAGGAAGGGAAGAAAACAGAAAGTCCTCATATTTCTTTTCCAACATTTTCTCCACCTGTAAATGTATGACAATGTAAGAAACTAATGGAAGAAATTGTAGAAAGAAAGTAAACTTCCAGAGTTCATTCTTGTAAGAAAGTACCTGCTGGCGTTGGACATTTTCAACACGTTTACAATATGCGCTGAATCGTGTCCAGTAGTCTCTTAGGAGACCTTTCCATTCAGTTACACCACCAGAAACATTATCAAGCTGAAAGAAAATCAATCGTAATGGAATAAAATTGAGTATCTCATCTTGCAATGTCGAAATAAATCTATGCAAATGTAGAAACTGCTATAGTTAACAGAGAGTCCAGTGAAGAACAAACTAAATATCTACCTCAACCTCCATATCAGCAGTGAAACTATAGTCTGTGATCTCAGTGAAGTAGTGGGTAAGAAAAGCTGAAAGCTGGAAAGATAGAACAGAGGTTAGAAAGATATATTGCGATGGTTGGTTTACTAAATCATCAATTAGTGAGCTCAATTTATTAAAAGAAAATACCATCCTCCCACGGAATTCCGGAAACAGGACTCGACTCTTTATTGTTACGTACTTTCTGTTCTGTGAAAAAAAAGAGGAGGTTTCAAAATGCTGCCAGTCTATGCCTCACATGAAAGGAGGGGTATTGTTAATTTCAGGAGACAGTAGAGCCTTTTAACTTCAGCGTGAAACAGAAGCACTAGAAAAATGCCAATAGTTTCTTAGTACGAGCACATACCTGTAAAACCCTAAATATAGATGCATATGTCGAGGGTCTACCTATCCCGAGCTCCTCGAGCTTTTTAATCTGAAACACATTAAAACATGCTTACCATATTATGTATTGTGAAACCTGACGGCAGTAAAAAAATATCATGCCTAATGTCTGCATAACCACCAGATTCAGCACTCATACAAAAAGAAACTTCTTATCTTTTATGCTTAGCTACCATCTTACTGACACAGAGATGAGTTACTGTTGATGAGAACTGTTAAGATCAATGCTTAACTTCCAAGAATAATGAAACCATTGTGTGGAGAACCAGAACCAAAATGAGCTACTGGAGACTTAAATGTGAAGTGACAGAGTTCATTACACCTCTGCGGATTAATTGAGTCTTGGACTTAAGAGAAGTAAGTTAGATTTGCATAAAGAAACAAGAAGACAAAAGAATAGACCATTTTGGAAATTTTTTGTGTCAGTGTCCTCTTCTCATCTTCCTAATCATATTTCTATCTCCTCCGTCTATAGAAAACTAATTCACCATGACTGCTAATTCCCAAAACGAGCCTATACTGATAATTAACATATCATGGAACGGGATCATATATACTTTTGACACAAAGGAGATAGGAGTGTTATACCAGAGAGCCCTCAGAATAGCGTGGTGGGTTCTGAGTATGGTGCTGCTTGAGCTCCACTTCACCAATCTGTAGCAAATCTCCATCCTGAAAAAAGGAGGAACACCTAATAAAGGCCCAGCATCTCTTATGGACGAAAAAGTTGAGGAAAGAAAGAAATGAAACCACGGTACAAGGCACAGCTGAAAAGAAAGGTTGTGATATTAGAAATGCTACCTTCAACAAACTGAGAGTTTTAAAAGTTTCCTCACGCTCACTACTCTGATCACCGTCTTTATTTTTGATTGCCTTAGCTTCAGGATCCTACAATATCACCAGGAGAAACAACAAAAACTGCTTTAGCACATTTCCGAAGAGAAGAAGGATCAAGCATTAGCTATACCTGATATAAAACAAAGTAAACATCCACAATAGGTAAAAGCAGTCAAAATATACATGCATATGACAATTACAGGAAAGAGAAGAAAAATATTACGAAGAATTGCTCCCAAAACAAAATCTAGGGAATTATCAGCACATTAGAAACCCACCTAATTATATAACTGCCAGGTAATTAACGATAATATGAAATACATAGTACCTCGTAAACTGCCTGGTATCCAAGGAATTCGACTTTTGAGCATGATGATCTGAAGATGATGGATTCAGAGGCATTTCCAATATCAAGTTGTATCTGAGAAGGGAAAGAGTCAGGAAAAAATTGGAGAAATATGTTGGATTTCATAATGTTAAACCTTCAACCATTCAATATTGGTTGATGGGAAAATTCAGCTACATACTCTCTTTTTTCCTTTCTTTTTCTCTCGCTGGTCAATAAGAACCTACTTGACACTATATGCATGATTTGAAGTGAAAAATAGCACATATATTACCTGCGCAATGGAAGCAGGCTCCATTTGACATGCCACAGCTCGTGACCATATCAAGGTATATAATTTTAGAGAATCCGCATCAAGCAGGCTAGCAATCGTTGCTGGAAACGCAAAGAAAAGATAGTGAGAGTTACGATAGTAAATCGTATGGTAAGTTATTGATGACGGCTAGTATAAATCCAGGGAAGCATGGCAAATTATTTACTTACACGGTAATCTACGTATATCGGTAGGTCTAATAGCTTCATGGGCCTCCTGAGCGTTCTTAACCTTTTTAAAATATTTACGAGGACTATCTGATGTAAAATTCTTCCCATACCTGCAGATAATAAGTATATTGCTGCTATAGTTTTCTCGAGTCAAAAGGACTAACGTAGAATAACTTCACAGATGCATTTATATGCCTTACCTTTCTGCCACCAAGGACTGTATATCTTTGATAGCTTCATCAGCTATCTGATGAGGACAGAAACAAATGAAAAACGAAACAAATAAATCAAGGAAAATCAAAGTGAAGTTGTAACAGATAAGATGAATCAGTCAGAAAGTCATGTTTTTGAAAAGCAAAAAAAATTGAATGCCCATAGCAGAAAATACACAATTAAAGAGATCACCCACATGTAAACCATCCGTCCGCATGTATGTTATAAGACCAGCTGATTTACCATCGGACAGTTGGACACCCTCATATAGTTTTTGAGCGAGCTGCAAAGTACTTATTATTAGAAATATGCACTCAAGGGAAAGTGAACGAAAATGAAAAAGGTTTCAGTTCTCAACCTTCATGGTATGTGCTGTTGAAAAATGTAATTTGTTAGCAGCATCCTGCTGAAGGGTTGATGTTATGTACGGAGTTGGTGGATTCTTCCGTGTAGTACTTGTTTTAGTGCCCTTCACTAGAAAACCTTCTGATTTGATCCTTTGCTCAATGTCCTGTGCACTTGCTTCAGAGCTGATAGAAAGCTGATTTAATCTTTTTGAATTTAAACTGGTCAAGTGA